CTATAGCCTTCTTAAGCAAAAATTTTAGCAGACTGCCATTTCTAAAACTGCTGGAATATATGTAAATAATCAAGTGCTTTATAAGTCGTCGAAAATCGCTCGTTTTTTAACGATTTTTTTTAACATCATTTATAAACTAGCAAATGCCTGGCTTGCTTCGCGACGCCTGATAAGAACTTTTGCGATGGCCGATACAAATATAGTGTTGAAACGCCAAACCGGTTTGTAATTTAAAAATTCTTAGTTTAGGTTAAAAGGACTGAAGAGCATAATAAAGGCGCTGAGATAGTATATGGTATGTGTACTAATCTCCTTCGATGCTATGAGTCTTATTTCCACCTGTGAGATATCTGCAAGTATTGCAAGGTTTGCCGAGACTGCGTGTTTCTTCTTCTACAATCCTGCTGTTCCACAGGATGAAAGAGTATTCCCGTTTAAACGGGGTCATTGATATTCCTACCGCGTTCTTTATAATTCGTAATACTTCTTCTTGATATACCGATGACCCGTTCATGTAAATACCTAGGATATCTGTGGCGCTTCTTTATATGCATACTTAACCTTAGAAAGGCAACAGGGGTCACCACCACTTGATACAAGCTTTACTAACTTTTTTTTACATTTGCTCTCCTTTGCTCTCATTCCGTTTATTTAGTAATTATAGTGAGATTTATTAGTCGCACACATCAATAAGTCGCGCTAAGTTTTACTTTTTTGTTGTAATGACACTACTGGGGTTATTAGTCACCCCAGTTGCAATTCACGTATCTTCTTTTTTTGTGATACTTAAATAAATCCCGTTTTTTTATTCCAAAATGGCTTCGCTTTCGGTAAGTCCACAATGAAATAATACAAGACTATAAATTCAACGAAAGGTGGTGTCGACACTTCGACTAAGTGATGCATTCCTATAGCTCGGCTATAGGTTCAAGACATTTACCGTTTCGCTACTTCTATGGTATGATTGATCAAGGTGGAATAAATTCTATGAAATATGCCCAATACTCCAATAAGCTATTTCCGAAGCAATTATTTAAAACTGTTCGCTTTACAATTGGCGGCACCATATATTAAGCGTCCTTTGACAAAGAATTTACCGCGAGAATTAGGAAGTATTATGCGGGATATTCTAGACTTGGACCAAGAATCCTCCTGAAATTAACCGCCAGAAAAATTATAGAAGCAAGCAAGATGTACGCAGGGCCCAAGGAGGCAATATAGAAAAGTTTAAACTTTATGCCAAAAACTGCACGTTGCCCACAAGCGCTGAAGACCGCAATAAAATTAGCCTTAACTGTGTTTAGTATAAAAAAATATATCTTAAAAGTATCGTAAGGAACTGAATGAATTTGTATATGTTTTTAAATAAAATAAATAAGTCATTTTATACTAAATACTTATGTTTAATCTTCTCAGTTTAACATTGTTTTATTTCAAATCAAAAGCCGTGGGGTGATGCATCACCCCTTTTGCTGTTTACGTAGACAATAAAAGTGTTGCCTTCCTAAGGTTAAAGCATGGGGCTTTATTAAGTCTCCTAAAATGTAAACTTGTAGAGGGGCATTTAAATAACGTGATTCCAGCGCCATCTATGTTTTGGGTCCCTTTTTATTTTGCAGAAGCGCTCCTTATAAAAAAAACAATACCGTTAAACCCGGTCGCACGATAACAATGGATTGTCTAAATATCTCGAGTCTAGCACCATCTGTCGGCAGAATTTTTTGCAAAAGTATATGTATAATATGATACAGAGCATCCGAGCTCGTTCGGGGTAAACAAATGAAAATATAAAACAGTAAAAAAGATTTTCAGTTTACCATAAATTTAAGGGGACAAATTATTTTTCTTATTTAATTTAAGGCCTCTTTACGAACAATATTTTTAATTTTTTGTTGCGGTGTAGAAGCATAAATACTATTCGGACATCTCACTCGTGGGCATTCGTCATTATTTGTCACATGCCAAAGCAAAGTCTCAGAGAATACGGAAGACTTTTAAATTAAAATGGAAGGTCTGTGGGAATAAATAGGACTCCTTACAGAAACACATCTCCTATTTTGTCGCATCCAGTAATAATTCTTCTTACAATTATATCGGTGATCATTTTCTTTGCCAAAAATCATTAAAACATCATTATTAAGGTTAGGTGGATCAAGGTAATAATTTTTAAATTCATATTCTCTGAACGTGGGCGGCATGCGTGGTGCTACGAGTTATTTCAAATTTTCATTCGTTTTTAATTTACAAAAGGACATTCCGTTTAGCTGTCTGTTCGTCATGGGTCCAAGGCTATGTTTCTCTGAATCTACTACATCTATTGGAGGTGCCATGGCCCCTTGTCAGATCTCATTTTCCTATACCCTATGTTATGTTCGAGGTTATTGTCTAGATGGCATCTTTGTAGGAAAAGTTTTGTTAAAAATAAATAGCGATGCATCGAAATTCTTTGTCATATTTTTCACAAATATTTATTATTTTATAGATGCAGGGCTTTTACCAAATTGAACGCTACACTCGTTGCTATTTACCAAGGGGTACTTAGTAATTATATCATGACAACTGTACCATTTACAACAAAAAGACTAATAAAAAAATGATCTAAAACACTTGCTTGCTTCTTAAAAAGTACACTTTTACGCATTAGGCGTAAACAAAAGTATACCACATTACTATGTCTTTAACATTTGCTCGAGTTCGAAGCTTCCATACTCGTAAAGTTTTTTCCATGGTTATATAGCATTCCGAATTTCAACAACCGCACAATTTCGCTAAACTCACAATAATTCGCACACAAGAACCAATCTGGAAAAATGGATGGTATATCGGAAATAAAACTATTTTCGGAGTTTCCCTAAATCTGTAAAAAGTCTTGAAAACTTCGAAAATCTCAAAACTTTTATTGAGAGGTAAATATTTAATAGAAATGAAAAAAACCAGTCTGGTTAGATAAAAAAAATCCGGTTTATAATCATGATTTCAAAAAAAAAAAACGGAAACCAGTTTGGGAAAATCGAGTCAATCAGCCTAGTACTTTGCGGGTATTTAGCCCAGTGTTGCCAAGTTTTGAATTTGAAAAAGCACTAAAATCCAAAAAATATCGCGTTTTTTTCTCGAAAAAGGCTCCAAATTTTTTGGAGTATTTAATGGACTTTGTATGCATGAAAAATTGTATTGTAAGGATGCCGATTCAAATTAATAAAAATCAATTTTTTATAAATTCAAATATGTTCGTTCAAGCGACGTTAAGATTCTTGCTCTTATTCTCTAATTTGCAGCTGTATCCAGCGTTGCCGTCACGCGTAGATAAAGCAAAATTGATTAATTTTTCCTAACTATTTAAATGTTATAATTTTCTTCGTTTTGCTTAATTTTTTCTACAATTCCTATCAAACGAAAGAAAAAACCTGAAATGAAGTTTCATTAACTATGTGGTAGTTTTAGGGCCGGTTGCTCAAAGCCTGGTTGACACTAATCTCCGGTTAAACATCGACGTTACTGACACCATGTTATATGCATGGAGCCGAAGCAGTCGATAACGATGTTAACCGAAGATTTGTGTCAACTAGGCTTTGAGAAACCGGCCCTAAATCTACACTGCAGACTCTTATTTATGATCTTGTGAACCAAAGGAACGTAAAGAACTTTTCTTTCCGAACGCTTGATTTTTCTATTTAATGTATCTTATTTGAGCGTATTATCTACTGGCGCACAGTGGGAAAAATATTTTTATGTCAAAATAGTTGTCTAAATACTCATCAAATCCCACCCGATTTTCATTATTCTCTTTATGCTGCTTTTTTGAATAGTCGTAAAAAATATAACAAATTTAGCCACAACTAAAGATCTGAACAGAGATTTCTGTCCCAGCAATGGCGACTTACCGAATGTAATTTTTACATGATCTCTCTCGCTTATGATTGTCATTGTCAAATGATTTTGTTTCGATTTTTGTGAAGTTTCTTAGAAAACTTACGATTTCTATAAGTTTTGCTCTCCCTTTTTTTAAGATTTACAGATTTGGTGTCTTCAAACTAAAAAGAAAAAAACCAAAAAAACGCACGAAGCACTAAACTCTAAAAGTTTCGCGTTTGAATAAAGAAAAGCACTAAATTTAGTGCGGAAAGCTCCAAGCTGGCAACAGTGATTTAGCCGTCAGTGTAAACTAGGGTGGTCCAAAATGAGTAAAGTCGGAATTTTAATGGATTGTTCTATCCTGGAAAAAATATACCAACCACTATTTGTTATTTTAAAATCAAGAAATGTTAAGAGGTCGCTCAAAGCTTTCCATATATTTTATATGGGAGAAAACAACTTTTCGTAGAAATGGTATAGAATTCTTGAAAATCAATATTGTTCAATCGGAAAACTTTGGTTCTCTTCCGGAGATTTCCAATAATAATACCAAATGTTTATCTAACCATGTTTTAATACTAAATACTTTTTGTTGGTCACCCCATTGCATTTTCTGGGGTTTTTGGCGGAAATAAACTACTGGGTATTATTATTGGAAATCTTCTGAAAAGAAACAGAGTTTTCCGACCGAAAAATCTTGATTTTCAAGAATTCTATACCATTTCCATGAAAGTGTTTTCAAAATAAAAAAATATGAGTATATTTTTTTGGTATAGAACATTCCTAGGGGGAGACTTCAGTTTTTCACATGCATTTTTGGACCACCCTACTGTACACATCTTTACATTTTATTGGTAAGCGGCATATGCTTTTATGAGGTGTAGAGTAGCTTAATCATTCACATTTTTTACAATCAGTGGCTATGATTGCAAGCAGTTTATTTAACTTTGACATAACTTCTTCTTTATTGTTTCTCGCTGATGTGTGCAGCTGTTTGTTCAGCTGTTTTAATGCTTTCTTTGTTTAATTAAGCATTTAACTGTTTGTCTGGTATTTGGTTAACTTAAGTTTATGTACATATATGTATAAAAACACACGAATTTACTTAAGTATGTACATACATACAAAAGTACATAATTTGTGCTTACCAACTTCCGCAAGGTGGCAGATGAGAGCCAAGATCAGCAGCACCAGCAAACCTGACACACTTTTCACGCTTATCCTCATATTAAGAGTATGACGTTTTTATTACCTCTAAATATAATTTTTTAAGTCGCTTTTTGCAATTTTTCTTATTAAATTTTATTTACGAGTATGTATGTTACTTATGTACCAACACTTCAATGGCTTCTTTACTTGGTGCTACTTGACTACATATGTATATATGTATGTATGTAGGTATGTACTCGTATATTTATGTTCACTTCTGTATCTGGACTTTTAAATTTATTCTCAACAATTAAGCTTAAACTGAGGATCGGCGCTGTACTGCTAGTGGCTTTTATAGTTTGTGAGCGCAGAATCTTTTCTCTATTACTTTTACGCTCCTTTGGAGCTTCTTTCAAACGTTTTTGAGCGTAAAAGTTAGTCATAGAAAAACATCTGCATTACTTGACTTACATTTTTTCTACACGATGATTAAGTTTGTACATATGTTTGTATATAAATAAGTATTTTGCGCTAATACAGCTTGCAAAAAGTTCTTCTTCATCCATTTGTAGTATGAGTCTTGAATTTTGCTGGAAAAAAAATTTAAAAACGTAAGAAAACGACCTACATAGGTAGAAATAAATAAAGGAAAACGATTAGCGCCAAACAATTTTCCAAATCAACATAAATAAAGCTATACGGAAAATATTATGACGGGCACTAAATAAGTCTCTAGACTAGCTCAGCATAAAATAAATTTTGCCGTTAAAAATGGTCTTGTGGTTCCTTAAAATGTTCTCCAGCATGATTTATCTATTTTGCATACTTTCAAACCAATTGGTGAAGCATTTTTCCCACAGTGAATTTAGTATTGGAGTGTAAAGGGGTATGGTCGTTATTCTGGGTACGCAGTGCAGTTGCACGGCTATACTCAATCCTTACTATTGCATCCTCGTTCGCGAACTCTGGGCAACGTGGGCAATCCATGTGCGAGATGCTGTTACCACTCTGAGTGGAGCAATGAACCACCTTTGAAAAATTCAGCCTCCACGATTAAATTCCTGACAATGGACTGAGGCTGATCGACTTTGCCGCACCCGAAAAATGATAGTATAGAGTACTAGGTTCAAGCATAAAAAGAGCCATCAAGCTACGTGGCTGTCTCCAGATCGAAAAACGAGAAACCAAATCCATCATGCTGTGATAGACGGAAGGCACACTTCCAGTCTTTTGGAGGTACGTACACTCCGAGGCCCAAACATCGGCTCAGACCACTTACTTGTTGCAGCCAAGATACGAACCCGCCTCTGCGCAGCAAAAAATGTGCGCCCAAAAATGCAAGCAAAGCTAAACGTCGAAAAGCTGCAGTCACAACAGACGGCCAATGCATTCACTTCTCGACTTTCACACTTACTGACAGAACCACAATTCGTCGTTCTTTAAGTAACGTCGCCGAAGAACTAGTCGGATTTCAGCGAGCCCGAAAGAACAGTTAGCACAGTGAGGAGTGTCAAGAAGCTGCAGAGAAATGCGAGCTATGTGGGACCGCTATAGGGAACTGAAGAGGGAAGCGAGACGTATTTACCGCAACAAGAGGGGAGAGACCGAAACAAGTGAGCGCGAAGAGCTTGAAATGCTGGCCCACAGACAAACGCCCGAAAATTTTACCAGAGAGTAAGGCGACTTTCGATAGTTTTCAAGACCAGGGCCAAAACTTGTAAGAACAAGAACAACAATGGCGAACTAGTGACTGATGTCCAGAATGTACTTAAATTATGGAGGGAACACTTTTCCACCCTACTGAATGGTAGCAACGCTGAAAGCTGTACAGAAGACGAATCCGAGCCCCCAGTCGATAATAACGTGGTTGTTGTTCCTACGCCTGACTATGACGAGGTATGAATAGCAATAGTGCGCTTAAAAACAACAAAGCTGCTGGAGCTGGTTGCCTGCCAGCCGAGCTATTCGACTACGGCCGCGAAGAGTTGATATGCAAAATATGGTCAGATGAACGCATGTCTGACGACTGCAATTTAAGTGTGCTCTGTCCAATCCACATGAAAGGCGACCCAGCCATTCGCGCCAACTACCGCGGGATCAGCCATCTAAGCATACATTACAAGGCCTTATCGACCATATTGTTTGAAAAACTGAGGCCCACCGTCAACGAACTGTTTGGGCCTTATCAGTGTGGCTTTAAACCTGGCAAGTCCACCATATATCAGGTGGCATAATACGCCAAAACCTTGAAAAGACCTACGAGGAAAGGTTCAACTCACCACCTAGTTGTCGACTTCAAAGCCGCGTTCGAAAGCACTAAAAGCAGTTGCCTGTATGCCGATATGTATTAATTTGGCATCCCCGTTAAACTGATACGACTGTGTAAAACGACTTTCTGGAAATACCACCAGCTCCGCCAGAATTGGTAAATACCTCTCCGAGCCGTTTGCTACCAAACGGGGTTCCAGACATGGCGACTCCCTTCCATGTGATTTATTTAATCTGATGTGTGGGAAGCTACTAAGAGCTGGTGAACTGTACCGCACAGGAACAATTTACTATAATGTCGACATCATTCGTAATAAAAACCGCGAAGTTTGTTCCGCCTAGTAAGACAAGAAAGCAATGCGATTGGGCCTGCTGGTCAACGAGGACAAGACGAAGTATCTTATGTCATCAAACAAACGGTCAGCGCATTCGCGCTACGAAAAAGTAGAGAATTCCGTTTACTTAGAAACCAGCATTAATGTCAGCATCGAAACCCAAATCAGACTGGACTGAGTAGATAACTAAGGAGTAGAATCCTCTCTCTACGTACGAAAACCACACTCTATAAGTCACTCATCATGCCCGTGCTGTTATATGGAACAGCAGCATGGAGCATTGGAGTATTCCAGAGAAAGATTTTGCGGAAAATGTATGAGTCCTTACGGATTGGCGACGGCGAGTACCGCAGACGATAGAACTATGAGCTGTATGAGCTTTACAACGACATGGACATAGTGCAGCGAATTAAAATACAGCGGATCCGCTGGCTTGGCCATGTCCTTCGAATAGCACCGATGCTACAGCGCTGAGAGTATTCAATTCGGAACCCGCTGGTGGTCAGTTGGCACAGAAGAGAAACGACTGGCGTGTTTTGCTGAACTCGTCAAAATCGCTTAGGCGGTTACAGCGCCAAATAATAGGAAGAAGAAGATATGTATGGAGAAGTATAACAAAAATACGCTCTAGACCCGGGAGCTCGGGTACACATCTATTTAAGAAATTCTTCCAGAAATCGAACGAATAGATATGTATTTATGTAGCTGTACTTATCCATATACATACATACATATGCATATGGGTATCTATGCAGCAAAATGATTCGAAGCGATATCATATCCATGGCCAAAAATATTTCTAAAACAAAAGTTAACTACCCAGAAGATGTAATTTCAGATTCTGCTGGCGGTTCCGCAACTTAGTTTCTCCGCGCGAAATTTTCTTAACAGATTATGTATTTACACTCAAATGCACAACTCTACGTACACAAGCGTGAGAAATTGTCTCTCAAGTTTTAGATTCCCTCTATTTATGTTACATAATGTATTTTTTGAATTTGCACTTGTGCACTTCAGCAAATTTATATTTGTTGTATTGATTTGACGAACTTTTGTCATATGAGTACTCTTGAGCCACTTTCCCCTACAGCTCAGATGATTTCCTCTAAATTTATTTTTAACAGAGCCGTAGTGCCAAATCGATGCTTGCCTTGTTACTGTTTTGGATTTAACACACATAGATACAAAACAGTGTTGTGCAAAGTTTTAGCAATATTCGCTAGTATGACACATGTACATGGGTGCGACAAAAATTTGGTATTTTTGTTGCACGTACCAAAATATTTCGCCTCAAATTGATGTCGTTCGCGAACCATAAAGCATACATTACACTGAAGATTATGCCGAGTACAGCCGTGCGGATAATGTATCTAAAGAAATGCTCGTAGCAGTTTTCGGGTCTCCAGTTTGTCCTTTCAAGCGTTGAAATAATTCAAAAAGAAGAGATTAGGGTTAAAAAAATATCTTCGAAAGTAGGCTAATAGGATAGTTCTGGCAATTGTATTCCAACTCACCACAGTCTTTCGAAACATAAAACTCTTTCCTAAGACAATTGTCAATTCTGGCGACTATCTCCAAAGCTCTTTTCTGTCTTTCGAAAGACTAACTGCAAGATTTGCTAACGAGGAGGTTTAACGTTATTCTGTATGTTTTTTAACAATAAATTTTCTAAAAATTAAATTAAATAAAAAAATTTGTATTTCCTTTTTAAAACAATACAACTAAAAATTAAAAGAAAATTAATTTAAAAAAGGAAAAAATAAGTTTCTAAAAGTTAAATGAAATCCAAAAAGTATGTATTTTTTTACAAGCTTTTATTAAGTTTCTGTGTTTAATCAAATCTCGCAATTAATGTTTAACCAACTTCCCGATGAGCTAGAGGCTTGAAACTTTAGTTCGCTTTAGGTGGCGCACGTGTCGAGATATTTGAAAAGCCTATTTATGGTCGAATATTGATCATATTTGGATGTACATACATATATCTCTTACAACTAGTAAAAGCTTGTCTTAAATGATTTTTAAATTACTTGTTATTTATAAGTAAATAAGTTTTAAAATTCAAAGACAATTAAATTAAATTAAAAGAATTAATTAATTAAATTAAAAGAAAAGAAATTAAATTAACAAAGAAGAAAAAAATTCTTAAAAATTAAAAAAAAAAAATTAAAATTACATACTTTTCTTTTTAAAACAATAAAATCGGAAAATAAAAAACAATGTTTTATTAAAAATAAAAAGAAGATAAATACGTTTGTAAAAATTAACTGAAGTAAAAAAATATTTTTCTTTTTAAAACCATAAAGTATAACAATTAAAAGAAAATAAATTAAAAAAAGTTTTTAAAACTAAGTGAAATTAATGAAACATATATTTTTCTTTTTAAAACAATAAAATCTAAAAATTAAAGTGCTCTGCTCACTCGGCCATTGCGACTGTTGGAGCAACGCGATAGCTAAATGATATACATCGCCATTTGTAACTTGCTCAAGTCATTTCCGTCAAAAGAGCTTTTCACCAGGAAAGTTGACAGGGGTGCTTGGTTTCGTACGACTTTTGTGCCAGAATAAATAAAATCTTTCAAGTTATCTTGGCTATTGCCTTACAAAAGACTTTCAACTATCCTAGCCGGAATTGCCCTGCAAATTTTTTCTCTCATGAATGTATGCACATTTAAACTTACATACATATGTACATGGATATGTTTTGTTGTAAATTCAATTTGCCATTTTCCGCCGGCGTTTACTTAAGTACTGAATGTCAACGCAATCAG